ATCAGTTAATCAGTAAAATGCTTACTTTACACACAATGCTGCTGTTAAATTTTTTAATGCACACAATAATGCTGCTCTAAAATTTATAATAGTAAATGATATCAAACTATAACTCTAACTTCTTCTGTTCGATCAAAATGTCTTTCTTTCGCAATGATGATCGTATTAGTCATATGTAAAGCGCGAACTTTGATTTAATTTCTTGACTACGTCAAAAGTTATTTAAATTAATTAATTAAAATTAATAAAACATTGCACACTATTAATTTTAGTGTAGAATATGGAGCGTTAAAATAAAATATACGATATAATAAGATATAGTATAAAACAGAATGCAGAAGCATTTTTAGCTATGATAATTTTTTTTTTCAAAAAATGAATATTGGATTCTCGAAATTAAATAAAAAACTGATAAAGGATGGCTATGAGAGTCAGACGCAGTTATCGGTGCGTAAAAGATCCAATTCATTGATTTATTCAACAGTGTATATATTCGAACGTTTCGGCTCGGGATTGAGCCATCTTCAGCAAAATATACAAAAATTAATTAATAATTGCTTCCCTTCATTCTTACTTGTCAGTGAGTTTCACGATTGGAATAAATTTTTTTGAAAATTTTTTTATCAGATATATCCCACATAAGGCATAGTACATTTTCTACTATGGCCGCGCTTTTTGAAGATCTTACAAACAGTCTATCAATATTTAAATTAAAAGTTTTAATTTTTTGCAACAGAACCAATTTTAAGTGTGCTTAAAGATGTAACACATTATTAAAATATATTATTTACCTTTTTTTAATGTTGCATACAACGATCAATAAATTTATAATGAGAAGTAAGACCATTATACGAGCATTAATAGATGTCACAGAAAATTCATATCTAATTCTTATATGTACAATATTATTGTAACACATATATATATTCCAATTATTCACTGTGTTCCGATCACAGCCGGACTTAATAGAACGTTAAAAAACCCTTCCATCCCCCCACAATTAAATCGACACGATTTAATTATTAAAAAACTGTAAAGAATTTATTGAGAAAAATATCACCTCAGTCAGGGTTCGAACCTGGAACCTCCCTTATTCCGTGTAGGGCGTCGTACCAATTCGACCACCGAGGCATGTGGTAATATTCTTCGCAATAATCGGTTAATAATAGTTGTAAACACTAATCAATAAATTTAATGAAGAGGCTTTTTTGCATTAAAAAGTTATTCTTTTATTTATTATTAGCAAGTTGTAAATTTAAAATAGTCAACTACTTTCTAGTGAAAATTAATGTAATCATACCTTTGCAATTCTAACTATAAGATAGCAGATGTGCATTACAATGGCGTTAATGCTTGGAGCGACTATTAAATTTCTGAGAAGAATGGTTATAATTAATAATATATACGTATATATGTAGTAGTTTATAATGGTATTATTCCATAATTAAAAATGTGGAGTAATATAATAGTATACAATGAAAAATGTGGAATATATAATATGGAATGCACTTATAATAAATATCTCGAATATAATAAAGCTTATCAGAATACCAAAGCACAAAGTTATCTGAGATCTAATGAGGTTGATGATGGAGCCATAAGTCAAGGACAAAGTAGAAGATCCGATTGAGGCATTTAACTTTGATACAGATCTTTACTTCGCGATCATGCAAATGTTTGACTATAAAAGAAGTCGGCGATGATTTGTATATTTCCTCTCTTGGATTGAATAACTTTATAACAATTTTTTATAAATTTCTAAATTATATAATGCAGCATAAGTGTATAACAAAGTGGAAAAAAAACGTTATTTTGATCGAAATATAAACAATTTAACAATTTTACTTGGGAGTGGTCGGTAATTAATGTAATGTGAGAAATTGAATGAATGTTTATTTCTAATCAAAATATACTTGCGCGCGCAATTCCTATATACCCAGAGTTGCGCATTCGTTCGCCAGTTTTCAGTAACACAATGATACATTTTATTCATTTTACGATTCGTGCACTTGTAAGTTATATTTTACCGTTTTGAAAAATAATAATCGGCCAGTCTTATATATATAGATGTATCAGTTATTAATTTATTATTGGTAACATACTGTAAACACTACTACTCTTTACACAGTTTTTTACCTTCTTAGAATTAAAAAGAAGTTCTTACAATTCCATCGAGATTATCAATTGAGACCGCTTTCTAGATTATATATACTATATCATTTGTGCTTAATGTATTCTAAATTAGTTTCCTCATTATTATTACTCCACTGCACTATATTAGTTGATTTATTTTGCATCAATTTTGTGTAGAATACAGAACGGTGAAATACGACACTGCCGTGCTCAGTAACTATAATAATACATAACTTTTTATTTTTATTTATCTAAAATATATTTTACGTTTAGCACTATTTTAAAAGATATTTTTACCGTAGCAGCACCTTCTAATGATCCCACAAATAGTCCATTGATATTCATAGTGAACGCCTTGGTACCTCTTTGCAAGAGGAACAGGATCATTTTTTGTATTTGCAACGGAGCTGCGTACCATTGGGCATTGTATCTATATCATGACAAAACAATTAATAATTGAGGAATATAAAAAATAATCTATTAATGCTTACTATATGTCTCTTATACTACGTTGACTGTACATTTGTCACGTCCGTCCATACAACAAATATGCGAATGTGATTATACTATATAAATATCTTGCTTACATAGTTGCAAATACATTATTATTGTGATCCATAATTTCTTGCGCAAGATAGTTGCCTACGAATGCGTAAATGAAATGGATGATGCTAAACATTACGTGTAATGAAAGTTCCACTGTATCGAATCCAAACGATATTATCTGAAAAATCTAATATACAAGCAGATTCAAGGATCTTGATCAAAACTGAGTAAGTAATGTCACTAATGTCAAACAAAATAATAATTAATTAAGACTCTCGATGAAAATTTTTGAATAAACTTTGTTGCTGTTATTCACAAGTATGTGATAAAAAGAAGGCCACATTTACCCGAAAGAAATTCAAACTTGCGCCAATCACCCCGACGATTATCAATAAGGAGATCATTACTTTAAATCTATAGATACTATTGAGTGAGATAATCTTCAAGAGAAAAAGAATATTATATACTCTACGCACATTTTACATATATTATCGATTATTACAATACAAATATTGCGTGTGTATTATCATATGAATACTAACTTCATAGCTTTGCGATGCATATCCACGGCACAAATTAATCCCTTGTAGATCAAATTCTTATTCTTCCAGTTGTTTTTTTGTAAAGTTTCGAATGCCATTGCTCGTTCAATACGATAACTGCAAGTGATTATTTAACCATAATTGTGTAGAATCTTTAATTTGCTGATTGTTTAGATTTTCTACATTTATTAAAAAAAATATGTTTTACGTATATTTTCTTACCAGGTGATTTGAAACATTCCGCATGCATGCTTTTGATAAACTATCAATATACTTTCTGTCGCTATTAATGCGGTACCTCCTATCATTACGGCTGCGTTTGCGTGGAACAATATCAAATAGAAGTATTTTTCTTTATCGAT